AAACTTTTCAAATATGAGGTCAGGTCTAGACGATACTCCTATATACATTTTACAGACCCCAACAGTCACACCAACCGATCGACAACCCACTTGGCCGGACCCGGGGGCGCCAAACGGCGAAATAGACTCCGCCAATACGCAACACACACAGATTTCGATTAACCTAATATTTCTGTACAGCGGCTTTTTAATTTACCATGTACTCTTCCTCTGCAAAATAAAAGTGTCTGGTGGCTCACCAGTTCAAGACCTTCTCCCAAGGACATCCAGTTCTTCCCCAGCGCCACTCGCGCGTCCACACGTCGTCCTTAAGCAAGGCTTTCCATCCCTGATTGACGGCCTGTGACTCCTGACTGCAGAAACTGACGGAGTTCGTTAAAGGCTTGGTCTCCTGCGTGATCAGAAGCCTTGCGATTGTTGTTCGTGCCCACCATTCGCGCGTAGCACGCCCTCGCAGAAATCACAACTAATCTCCACCCCTCGACTGACAGTTACTTTTAAGTAGATATACATGCGTTCCCCGCAAGTAACCACGTGGTATTCTTAGCATAACCTCACTCCTTATTCTAACCTCCCCCTAGGGGGAACAGGTGTTCTTTAATTCACTCTGCGCTTTATTCTTACACAACCGCCAACCACTGAAATACGCAACACTCATTCCGCTCCTTCCGAATGGAAACCACCCCTGCAAACCCAAGGGCGCGCAGATGAGAAGTGGCTGGGCTCGCCGCGCGCGCGTGATCTGGGGCCCTGCCACGATTACCAGCAACCCTGCATCGAGCCAAGTTCCCTAGGACGGCGTAGCGCGCCTGCCGCTTGCACGCGCAACCGTCAGCCATCCCGATCGCAACCTCTCCAGCTTCACCCCACTCCACCTCATCGATTCCCCCCCGTTGCGTCTGTGGGACTCTGACCCAACCCCGGCAAACCCCTGCCGGTCTCCCCAAGCCAGGCCTCCCTCACACCCACGTTGAGGCTACTGCCACCCCCCGCCCAGTCACTCCTCGTAAACTCAGATCCTGGGAACCCTGCATCCCGTTTCACAACGGCGATACATCACTACCCGGACAGAAGAAAATCGGGAACGACCTCACACCTCCAGCTCAATCTTTACCTGCCTACGCTGACATGCCAGTTAAACCCAACGTATTCAAAGAAGCCGAACTACACCAAGTCTAACCCAACCCGCTCAACAATATACGCCACAAGCTCAGGATCTGATGTCTACAACAACCCGACTCGTTTAACCCCGCCTCGAGAGCCTTCTTCCCCTCGTGCACCTCGCGCCTCGAGCTCCACTCCACGAACCGCCACCCACGCCCCCTGCGTGAACATGCAGTCTGAATGTTCCGTCCAGCCAACGCATAGTTTCACACAAGGTCCAGTGTGTAACAGCTGAGGATGATCTCATTGTTCAGAAATGTCATCACGGATAATCACTCCCATCCCAGGACGCTCCGTCTCCTCCACTAAGTCTGACTAGACCTGGAATATACAGAACAACTTTATGTTGTGACCGTTAAGTCATTCGCGAACTCGGCAGATCTTTCGATATCTACCGGACCCCGTGCCAGGTCTACCCCAGCCGTCTCTCTGTGGAAGCTGCAGTTTCTACATTTCTACCAGGCTTCTAAGTAGCAGGCTCTAGAAGTAGCCGGGCGTCCACCGACCCCAGTTCTTTTGCCCGCATGTCTCCGGTGCCCCCAGCCAACTATCAGTCGCCGTTTGCAGCTTGGCAAGCGGGAAGGCGTGAAGTGAGGGCGTTGTGATCTGCAAATTACACCCTCTAAGGATTCCAGAATGTCTGTAAGGTCTTCCCATTGTTTCAGTAAGCCAACCTGTTTGGAACGTTTCCTATCTACCCTCTACACTACGTAATACAATCCGAGTGATGCAGCCACATAAAAATCCGGTTACAAAGTAACCAAGTCGCTGTGCTTGCAGCAAATTTGACTGGCAAAAAGAGTCACAAAAAGTAATTCAGCAATCAAATAATAAAAAACGTCTAATTCTCCACCCACATTCAATTGCCTTAAAAGTAAATCTCCTCCTCTACCTGCTCGATTAAAACTCCGCCCCTTCCAGAAATATCTGAACCGATCCAAATCGTGTTCAATGACTTCTCTAAGCAAGTCTGCTTTTCTGTGGGACCCAAGATGGTCCTCCTCCCCTGCAACCTGTAAAAGCGTCCATCTGTCTCTGGTGACATGCCTGCAAAAACTGCGGGTGGGCTTCAAGTGCGAACATCACACTTAACCAACAGTTCATGACTGGACGCAGCACTCTGACTGCTCCCAAATCTAAATTTGCTGATGTCACCCAAATGCCTGCTGTAGGAGGCCCCCCGCCCCTTAAAAATCAGATGTTTAATGATCACAGCAGAAACTCTTGCCACTTTCAGCAGAGAATCGTGGACAACATGAACACAAGAACGAAACACCTCGATTTCTGACCTGAAAGGCCGGTTTAACAAAGTAGAGACTACTAAGCACTCATGTACATGGGCAACTTCATAAAATTACATGTGTCCTGGCATTCAACTTCCTTTGAATGCTGCAGCCAGTGAAATGTGGGACTCAATTTAACTCTATATATACTCGCAGCGGTGGGCTTGTCCAGCTC